ACACAGCTGTTTATCTGCCAGGATTCCAGGAGCCAACCTCATCCTTTACAAGTAATTAGGGCTGTAATTTCACTGCACTGGAGGCACAGGGGAGTGGCGTGAGTGCAGCTCCAAAAAACACACCAGTGGGCTCCGCTACAATTGCCCCCAAGGAAAAAGGAAAAACTGCTTCCAAAACAACAGGTTATAAATGGTCGGATGCATTTTAAAAGACGTCATCCCCTTATAAAGGATGGAGCCGCATGCAGACGTTTATAGTTGTGTGAGGAGGGAATCACATCTGAAACTTTCTTACGTTGTCACTTTATGCTCTCTTATCAAACTGGGAGAAATTAAGTTGCCTTCTAAGTTACACCACACATCATTTTTGTTTTAAAGCAGTACTATCTCCAAGATTTCCAGAGCTGCTTCATCTTCAACAAGAAACACACAAAAGGAGATGTGATAACCTTTAAATTAAGCATCAGAAAAAACGAAAACCTAATCTCTTTTTTTATGGCGTCACACGTCCTTCTGCACACCATTTGTTCAAAAAATGAAGGCAGCCCTGAGCTATCTGAGGCCACAGCCCCTATGTACATAAACCAGTGGCCTCTCAGAACCCCTTTTAATCATCCTTTCAGTAGCATTCTGGACATTTCACAAGCAAAACTGCAGTGTGGCCACAGACAGCTTTTGATGACTGTGGTCTTAAAAGCCAGCCACTAGGACAACTAGGTGGACAGCTTTTTGGCTGAGCAGATGCAAAGCTGTCTGAAAGTCTGGCTTCTCATGTAAATATAAACTTGCACAGCAGCCACTGAAAACAAAATCTGAAAGCTAAAATAAGAAGTACAATGACTGAGAACTGAATTTAATGAAACAGTAATGTTAGCCTGTCTGATCCCCCATGCTGAAGAGGCATTTCAACAATTATTGAATAAAAAAAATAATGAAAATTCTTCCATCCCTCGCTTCACACTGCACACTAAGCAGATGCCAGTGTCACATGCACTGAGACTACTCTTCTCCTTTCACTGGCAGCAGTCCAGTCTGCTTCAGATAGTGGAGACTCTGAAGCAAAGTCGCACGCAACATAACAGAATGTCAGCTGGCAATTCTGACAGAACGAGTATTACGAACACAACTTTAAAAAGCTGAAGAAATGTTACTCTGAATCTAGTGTCATACAAGTATGCAATCATACTTCACCCACTAAAGCAAAGAAACTGACTACTTCTCATACCACTTTGACAAGTTTCCATTCACCTCTTAAATCTTCCTCCATTCACTAACTAAATGCTCAATAAAAAAAAACTTGGTAATTGCATAATATCTCCTAAAATGAAATGCTTAATGTGGCCATTAAGCCCAGTGAAATCTTAAAGGGACAGAATGTTTCTTACATTTTAAATGACAGTGATTATTGTGTATATCACAAATGTTTTTTTCCAATGGAGTAGTGCTTTACAGTATCACTGCATTAAAGTACATGGAACACCACCAAGTATCTTCTTTACAATTTGTTTAAAAAACAATCAATGTTGTATTATGTATTTGCTGGTCAGCTTGGGAAATCAGGTATAAAGTATCGGGTACAAATGCCAGTCAAGTCCTTAATTGCTTTCAAATGACAGGTATTTGACTGCTGCCACCTAGTGCTTATTTGGATCATGACAGAAATGCATGTTTTTTTCATCACATCTCTGCAGGATGTGATTTTCAATTATTTCAAGCTACCACTGCCTATTATATTCCTATTACAAAGCATATAAAAATAACTTAAAAAAACACTTTTTGCAGATCTTTTTATCTCAATTTATGATGCAGCAACATTACAAAAATAAACTAAGGAAAAACATGTGAACATTGTTCTTGTGTAGGTGTATCAAAATCTGTTAACAAGTGAATGTATTCTTTATAACTAAGCTGTTTTCCAGTCAGGGCTAGAGCTCACATCCAGCAAGCAGTCACCAAACAAAGCTAATCCCAGTCTGAACCAAGCAGACTTTGGTTTTCCTAATGGAATATTCCCAGACGTCCAAGCAGGCACTCCTAAGCTTTACAGACAACAAGGTCATTGTTTACAGTAATGTAACCTGTACGGGTGTCCTGGCTGGTTCCTTTAGGTCTACTTCAGTGTTCTTGCGTTTCCAAGGAAACTCATGCCGTTCCATTGCAGATATGGAATAAAGAAGGCACACATAACGTGGGGTGGATACCTGAGTGCAGTCACTCAGATCATCAGCTGCTACAGCACTTAAGACTGTGGTGGGTAAGGAATTCACTCATTCAAAACCCAGCTAATAAAACAGGACCGTCAAAGGTCAAGTGTGCCAGTAAATCGACTGCCTTTTTCAGACATTCATTTTTATTATGCCTAATAACACTTTTCTCAAGTGTTTCAAGTCTCCAAAAACCATGTAATACACTACAGACACACATGCAAAAATCTTTAAAATGTTTAAATGACTTAAAAGGGTGAACAGAATCTAAAGACGCAAGTGTAAATTTATACCTTCTGTTTTGCAGAAGTATTTTGCTAATTTGCATATCATTCCCCCCCACACATGTTTTTAAATGGATGAACAGTTCATTTATTACAACATCAACAGCATGCTTCACTAAAAAGCACAGGGGGAAAACCTTTTTAGAAAATAAGTGATTAAGTGGCAAAAATCAAATTATTTTAGACATTCATGTTTACCATAAAGTAAAACCAATTTTTAAATGAATACATTCTGCTCAAGGCTGGTATTTTTAAATGGAAATTACAGGCAATCCCAAACTATGTGAGGTGTTCCCTCGTCTATCGGGAACAGAACCAGAAAAATCTTCATTCGGTACCATTGTAGTTTCTTTTTACTACCACCTGTCTGAGCTAGGACACATATTTCTGTATCTATGAGGCTGAATCTATAATACAGAATAAAAATTACTCCAAACTGAAGCTCACTGTAATGTTTATTAAGTCTCTCTTATTCATCCTGCTTTTAAAACTGAAAATCCAGTTCATCTGATAAACACCTGAGTGCCCACATAAACTGTACAGAATGGGAAACCGCAGAAACACCAGGAAGAAATTGCTTACAGTATGTAAGTGGAAAAACAGGTTGAAGTTATTCCTTGGAATACCTACACATGCAATCACAACACCGATGTTCTCGAACAAACAGAAGGAGTGATTACAACATGCTTTTAGAAGGGATCCCTTGAAGACTACTGCACACTGCTTTATAAAAGCAGACCAACTCCTTTTCCACCTAGAACCTTAAACAGAATGCAACAGCTTTAATACTGAAGCTCTTCCCCTTACTTGTTTTGTAATCATCTTCCCTTGCAACAGACCGTTGCAAACTATGTTAATAAATCTTACGCAAGATTGTCTCTCCATTAGCCTGTTTTGGCGAAATACTGCAAGCAAGCATCTTGATTAACATAAGTACAGTGTACAAATCTCTTTCAACCTTTTCCTACCTTAGCAAAGCAATTGATTATTAAATGCATGTCTCAAAATTAAGAAAAATAATATTTTTGAAAGAACATAAATACAACATAATATTTTGTTGTAGTTCTATTTGCTACAACACTTGAGCCAGTTGATACTTGAAAATACACATAATCTATAACTTCCAACCCATTTTAAATCTAGTAGTTTCTTTGTCTGGAGCTACAGTGCAACAGAAACAGAAGCCAGAAAGGCAGACTGAGAACAACTTCCACAACATGCACAAGAGGCTTGAAAGACAACAGGAACCATGCCTGGACTTTATTCAGGTCAGGGAAAAAATCCCAGGCAGCTGTGCGGGTGACTTGAGCGTTCCACAAGGCAGCTGTAGCTGCTGAGGCATCTCTCATGGGGCAGAGGCTCACGTTTCCCAAAGCACAGCCAAACCCGCAACAAATTCCAAAAACAGACTAAAAACAACGAGCCAACAACTGTGTCAACATTGCCCCCCCCTTCCCACCCCACCTCGGCACATTCTGGGACTGCAAGCAGCGTGACCTGCACTCATCACGCACCTTCACTCTCTGAAGAATCGTGTTTTAGAAGCCCCTCGTTAAAAATGAGCAAGAAATGAGATGGTTTTCCATTTATATGGAACTCCAGAAACGCATAAATTCCAACTTACTAGCGGGTTCACCACAAAAAAGGATAAAAAGCTGCAGATCAAGCAGAAAGTTAATTCACAGCTTAGAGGACTTTGAGGCCTTTATCCTTGATGTATCATGTTTTAACCAAAAACGCATTTTACATATTTGTCTATATCTCCCCTAAGCAGACAATTCCTTATATTTTCACACCACAACTGTACTTAAAGTAGAACACACCAGTCAACCACTGGTTCATGTATGGTTTGTTTGACTATGACAACCACTTTTTCAGGGTCACCTTGGCATTTAATGATAATTAAATCATAGGTTAAACGATATTAAATAATATAAAAATCATGAGTAAAAAGTCTCAAAAGGCCCAACTCTTTCTTTGCATTCCAACTCACAGCAATGACTACTGTGCCGTGCTGTAGCTGAGAATGGCGATGATCAGACATGCTTGTCCAATACTCTCACACATCAAGCCATTCATCTTTTAACACACTTCAGGCTCCACAGCACCCGACTAGCACTGAAACAGCTGCGTCGTTTTACTGCTGAAGTTTTGGTCCCAAATTATACAGTCTTCTGGTGTCCTGCATTCAGGAACAACTGACAAAATTGCTTAAGGTAAAATCCGATTTGCAATTTATGCAACACTTAATCCCATAACATTGAAGCAACCTGAAAAAAAACTACTGGATGACAAGGAAATAATACGTGAAATTGAACCCGATGACCTTAATCGGTTGATACTGGCCACCTATTAGACAAAGGAAATGACAACATGGTTGGCCTCAGCACGTGCTATCGCAGGAGGCCTCACTACTGTGGTGGTAAACTGACCCCTTGGACCACCTCCCCCCTTAACACATAGGGCATCCCAGGTCATAGTCGCACAACTGCTTCGGCCTTCTGAACAGTACCTCAGGAGCCAAATATTCCGGAGTCCCACAAAACGTCTTCATCGTTGCTCCATCTTTGATCCCTTCCTTGCACAAGCCAAAGTCTGTGATTTTAATGTGGCCATCCTTGTCCAGCATAAGATTTTCCAGCTAAAGAAAACAAGAAAAAACTACTGTGAGTTTACTGAAATCCAATAACTGGCAAAGTTCTCAGTAAAATCAAACCACAAAGGAAAAACAAATAAGTTACTGATCTGCAACTGTAATCAGACGGTGCCATCTTTGTTATCAGTCTTTTAAATTTGTAAACTAACTTAGTTGCACAAGACTGAATGGTACTTGAAGAGGGCTGCTGTCTACTGTTTGTTGAATTTGATGAAAAAACTATTTAATATTTGTATTTATTCACTAACCTTGTTATTTTTAATATTATGCAGCAATTGCTACATTTTAGCACTCCTTTTACAATCTCTCTAATGATAATATTTGTCCCTAAAGCATCGACCCAGACCTGAGACTGAAATGTTATCATGCTGTGCAAGGCATGACTGTGGGACATTCCAGAATCATTTAGTAGTAAATAGCTACTAAGCATGAAATGTCAAGGTCACATCTTCCCATGTTCTTAGACATCTTTGTATATCCTGCAACTTCAAAACTCACTGTAGTGTCCATTTGTCCACAGTGTTAACTCTATTGTGATCAGGAATGTCAAAAGTCTGTATATTCTCCTAGGGTACTATCCTGGACTATCCAGGGGATCTAAACAGTAGCTGCAGCCCTACCATGAAGAAACAGAATCACATCTAGGAGGGACAGTAGTGGCTGTAAAGGGCACCTGTACACTAGGCAAAGTGATGGGACAATTAAAGATCCATAATATCTTCTGATGGTGAGATTTCAATCCATTTTCCACAATGAGACTTTATTTTGCAATTTCATACATCTTGCTAAACGTAACTTCCCTTCTTCCTGGCCATGTTTACTACAAGGTTAATGGAAGTACAATATGGAAGACAGATGTTAAACCTTTTGTTAGTAGATTTCTTTTGTCAGGGGTGTGTCAAGGCCAATACCAGCCTTTCCTCAACAGTCCTTTGCGGATTCTGGCTCTTTATGATGACCAGTGTTTGAACCCAAGAGTAACCTTGTGCTTCATGGCTTACAACATGTGGAAAGCACTATCTTACTACAAACTGAATCTCCCAGTAGAAAATGCTTTTATGAGTCTCCTTGTTCAGAGTAACAAAGTTTAAAGGTATAGATGGTTTATTTAGTAATGAAAATTCCTTATTTTGTGGTCTACAATATATTTATATGCAGCCCACTCATTAAACCCCAAACAGTGAGGATAATTCGAGAATAAATGTTAGATTCTATTTTATATAAAGAATTGTATATATTAATATATATTCTATTTTGACTTTATCAGACCATAACACCAAATTATTCAGGAAAGAAACTGGTAATGCTTTTTTAATTTCAGCTTTAGCATATTTATGTAGGATGAATACATTAACACTGTAAATAAAGTAAGTCACATCTTCTACTTGCAAATACACGGAGTCACCAGTCAAAGGAAAGTTACTGCCTGCTGTGACTTTCGTTTCACCTCCTTTAAAGCCAGAACGTGAATACAGAACATGTTCAATCCTTGACTCCTGTGACGACGGTATTTATAACCAAGACTCTGAGCCCGATTTACTTACCTTTAGATCCCTATAGACAACATTCTTCTCCGAATGTAAATAATCCAGCGCCGAGACGATCTCTGCCCCGTAAAACCGAGCTCGCTCCTCCGAGAAAACGCGTTCTCTCGACAGATGAAAGAACAGCTGGAACAGCAACAGCTGGCATTAACCTGGGGGTAAGGGGTGAACTAAAAGACCCGAGTGTGTGAGCAGCCTGATTCTCCTGGTGGGCTAGAACCTTGAAAGAGCTTTGCATTCATCTCTGGTGTCCTGTCTGCCGACTCATCACTTTCCTTTAAGATTAAAAAAAAACAATCTCTCTACTGTGCAATACAACACATTATATAGCCCAAGTATGAATCTAGCTAGAATGGAAAGAACAGTCTTTGCCAGCTGGTATAGATGGATGAAGCTACATACAGAAAAGGGTCATGAACAGAAAAAAAAGAACTATATGCCAGGCTGGTAACTCACAGCTCCGGTTGCCAGCCTCCCCTTTGCTTTTTTTATCCCACTAGAACCCCTTTTTAGTTTAAGTTTGTGCAGCAAAGCAGGAGAGACATAAACATAAGGTTACTTAGCTAGAACACCACTCCTACACTGCAGGACTGTTAGAGGGCAGTAAACATGACTAGTCACTCTAGTCAAATTCTTGAAAAAAGCAACACCTCTCACAGTTCACATTTATTACAGTGGGCTTGGGTTCTAAAAACAGCACACCCTTCTGGAGACCATTCAGACAATTTAGCTTATTTGGTTTTTAATAGCTAACAGATTCAAGGATCTGGATAGTTCTACAAAAGGCTTCAACAACATGGTTGGGTATCTTGGTCGAGACTACCAAAATTTTCTGTGTAACAAGGGGCTCCTGTTCTCAGTTTAAAAAGCTTGTTTCACCTGGTTCACTTGTTGGTTGGTATGTTGGTTTCCTTAAAAGGTCCACAGAGGGTCGACTTGTTAACTCTCAATGTCTTTGAGGATTTTGGGCACTTGAATCAGGTTACCTCATTGTCATCTTTGTTAAAGACGAAAAATATCTAGTTCTTTTAGCATATCAGTGCAGGGTATTCCTTTGAATGAGAATGTAGTGACTCTTTTCTGTACTTATTCCACAGTACAATATCCTTTCACTAATATCATTTTAGCATCACAGTGTCTAAAACTGTACACAATATAAATAAGGTCTTACAATTCTAATGAAAAATTGCTTGTTAAAAGTTTAACTATCCCATCATTTTGCCTTTTTTGTTGCCTCTTCATGATTTTCAGAAGATGAAACACTTAAGTGTTTCTCATAAGCAAAGACTTCGAACCTGTCAGTTCTTATTTTATATTCATAGTTTAGATTTTGGCTCCTATATTTGCCCACTCTGCACTTGTCTAGATTAAATCTCATCTACCTGGAGTTTGCCAAGTCCTAAATTTGGTCTGTCTTTCTTAATTTCTTTTGCAGCTACGATAGTGTTTGCTCATCTTCCCATGTTAAGCAATTTGTGAACTTGAGCAGTTTACTAGGCCAGAATCTAGATCATTAATAAAAATTAGGCAGGACAATGGTTCCAATGCCGATCTTTCAGTAACTCTAAACTCTTCTGACTCCACTAATTACATCCCACTTTACCAGCCCCCTCTGCTTCCTGTTCATCAACAAATTCTTAATCCATGTAACACAATTATCTTGAATGCCTTCTGCCTTTGATTTCAGCATTAATCTTTTATATGAAACTTGACTAAAACCTTCAGAAAACCTAAATATCCAATGTCAAATAGGCTCTGTACCAACTGTTACTTGTTCAAAGAACTCAAGTTAACCTACCTTTTCCAAATCCTGAATCCAGGTAGCTATTTTTTAAAATCTTACTGCCACATAGACTTTCCTGTAGTAAAGTTTTAATTACTGTTGTTTTAATAGTAATAGAAGCAAAATTAGTTGGCCTATGTTGGCCAGTTCTGTCATCCTTTATAGGGATGGGTGCTATACCTACACTAGCAATTTTCTAATCCATAGTTATTCCTAAAGATAATACGCAATGAGTGTTTTTAATGGCCTATGCTTAATATATTTTGTTTTCTTACAGTAGGTTAAATTAGTAAAACTTTATTAAATTGTTTTATGTTGTCAGAATTCTTCTACCAGTTAGTGATAATGAAATTCCATTCTTCTATTATTCAAATTTCTTTCAGTTAATACAGAGATTTCGTGCTATGATATTTTTCTTGTAAGGGGATTAGCACTGGTGTATGGACTCTATATTTTTCAATACAGGTGGATGTGGGAATATGGAACAAGCTAACCAACCTTGTTGTTGAAGCCGATACCTTTGTTTCTTTCTAGAAAAAGCTGGTTGAGATCCTCAAATCAATTAGAAACGAGCTACCATGTAGCTCATTTCGTATTTCTTATGATCACCCTGTAGCAACATCAATAGGCATTATTTCAGAACCCTCGTTGTATAAAAAACAACAATATATTGGGATACAAAGCACATTTAAATACTCAAACAGACTTATCTTCCAAAGTAAATTTCCCTCAGAAATGTGCACCAGCATCTAGCTCTCAGTATATTTTCACAGTCTGACAATGGCCGACAACTACATGATCAATTTTTTAAACACAGAAATTGCAACTGAGAAATTTTGGACACATTTAATCACAGGATTCTGTACAAACTAAAACCACTTAGTTGACAGAAATGTTTATTTCTTACCTCACCACCATTAGCATATTCCATAACGAAACACAACCGATCATGGGTCTGAAATGAGTACTTCAACCCCTGAAAAAATAAAAATAATGAATTCTCTCAGAGTTCAGCAACATTGAGAGAAACAGGTTCCGGGACCTGAAAAATTGAGATGGACAATAATTCTCTAGAAATGTTTCTGTTATGGTCTATGAATCCCTTGTTCAAAACACTTTTTCAAAAACATACCATACAAAATAAACTGCAACATAATATTAGAACAGGTATTTAGACATAGCATATAATTAAATTTAAAATCTCACCAAAACTGGAAAAAAACTAACTTATTGCTCACCTAAAGAGCAGTCACTATTATGAGCTCTGGTTTAAGACACATTCAGAACCAACCGGTTCTGTACACAGGTAAGATGTGAAACTAAAGTATATGATATCAAAGCAGTATGAGAAAAACAAAATCAGACTGTCAATCATTAACAAGGTAAGTTCCTTGTTGTCCTTTTTATTTGAAAATAGATGACTATTCAAGATTGCTCTAGGAAATAAAGATGTTATCCCTTAAAAATGATTTAAATCTCTTCCTGGGATACTTTAAATAGACAATTTAGAGGACAATCCATTGTGAAAATCTTTGTGAAGTGATAGGCAATGATAATGCCTGTCCAGTTTCTAAGAGTCTTTATGTGTTCATTGAATCCTTTTTCCAGAGGGTTATTTAATGTTACTCAAATTCTTTAAAAGAAAAACTAGTACCTCGTTTCAAGGACACTTCTTCCCCACATTTTTAAGGCCACTTATTCAGTTATTTTGTGGCTCTCGTGGAGTGTTTGGGTTAGGTGCATAAAGGAATGGCTCTTACCGTTAAGAAGGGGTGCTTGGAGCTCTGTAGGACTCTGTTTTCTGTAAGTGTGTGTGCTACTTCATCCTGAAAGAGATCACAAAGAGCATTTGTACAAGCGACAATGAGTACCATTCAAAAAAGTCCAAAATGAATGAAGTTCACTCTCTTTCTCATGCTTGAGAACATACTCACTTTTGCTACAATCACTTCCTTTTTCAAGATTTTCATGGCATAATATCGTCCTGTTGCTTTCTCTTTCACAAGAATGACTTTCCCAAATGTGCCTTTACCAAGAAGCTTGAGGTATTCGAAATCATGCATAGTCTGGAATGGGAAAAAAATATGTTTAAAGCTTATCAGAAATACTAACAATCTGTACTTTTTATTGCACACAATAAATCTGGATATTTATGGTAAAAAAAAGTTAATGAGGTTCCTACACTTTCAGGCATAACAGCGGTTTTGCACCTTTGCATGTACAGAGATAAGACAAACTGGAAAGTTCCAGTATCTGGAAAAATATTTTTAGAAAGAAACATCTCAAAAGTCTGCATTAGTACGTATATCAACTGCTAGGCAATATAAACCCTGTCTTTGTGTTAACCATATGATCTGAGGAGAATACAGGACATTTCACCTGTTTAACCTTGGGGAGGTCTTAAGAATGTTCGCAATGCGCATGTTAAGAATTTAAAAAAACCTACACTTCTGGAAGTCTGCCCTCACTGTCAAATGTACATATATTTCACTATATATACTGCAATGAAAATGCCTGAGAATCAAATGTTACATGCACGTTTAAAAGTATTATATTCTCTACACAGATCTAATTGATTCATTGCTCCTCATTATTAACTCTCCCTTTACCACTACAAAGGTAAAAGGAGTTATTATACTACAAAGTACACTTTTATCACGAATAACTTAGATCACAACCAAATGGCTAACATTTTAGCAGATAAATTACCAAAGATTTGAGCTTCTGTACCCAAAAAGAAAATCTGAAAAGATCAGAATATGAAAAAAAGTCATGAGACCAACAGTGTGCATGATGTAAAGACTGGACACTCCTAACTAATGATGTTAGGTTCGTATGCATGGTGTTATATCCATGTTGTTGCTCATCATTTTTTCAGTCTACTCTTTGCTCTGCAGGATATTTCTCCACCTGGCCAAGTTTTGAACGAGTAAAATATGCCCAATGGTATGCGACAGACAACACAGTGGTGACTACAACTCTTTTAAAGAACAGATATTGAAAATGGATGTTTACTAAAATATTTATACATGCACATTTTTTGTGTGCAACAATATGCACTACTGATATAACTGGAACACCAACTTCAAAAATGTTTCAGGTCACCTTCGTTAAAGAAATATACTTGAAAGAAATGTTATTTGGTCTGCTATCTAAGCACTGCATTCGCATTTACACCACAATAATTGCAAAAGAAGCAAAATATTTGCATAGTTTGCATTAGTTACAAACGGTCAAAACAAAACCTTAGCTATGGTTCCACTTAGAAGCTTGAGATCACCACATTGTCTAAATTAAGGAAGGTTTGTGGTTTCTGGTTTGATTGCTCGAGAGTAACTATTCCTCAGTATGGCAGCAAGGAAACATACCACTTTGAGTCTGGGTTTGGTCAGATACACTTCCATATCCTCAATGCCTATGTTATCACTGGGGGAACCAGACCGGCAATCCATCATCTCTTCCTCCTGTTTCTGGAGGCTGTCAGCCACAGCCTGGATGGTTTTTGTCCATTCTTCTCTAAAGGGAAAAGGGTTGACACGAAAACTATTATAGTTCCTGGTTTGGAATGTTTATTTATAGTCAATCTAACGTCCTCTTATCACATTTGGAATTGAAACGGCTTATCAAACAAAGCTGAATTTATCCACTATGGTTCGACCCTAACTTGATGCACTTAGGTTATCAGAGAATCGTCCACTGGTAATAAAAAATACAGTAAGGCTTTATAGGCTGCATAAACACTGAAGTTTTTTTTCTATCTTAATTAAAATCAAACAACTTCTCAGCCGCTTAACACATTTTTTGAATGCACGGATGACTGAAGCAAAATAAAAATTGCTCCATGCCATTTTCCCTTAAAATTTTACAACTTTGAAGGTTCGCAAGATCCCTTTGGCTTTGATGAACTTGTTCTTTTCTTGCTCAGAACACTCTATATGGACTAATTAGGTTCTATTAAATCTTTAAGTATAGGCATTCCTCACACAGAACCTGCCCGCTGTAATAATGCTCTCCTGAGGTGGGATTCGGAGTCCAATCCATGAGTGTCAGACAACCAAACTGAGAGGAAGATGAGTTGGAGAGTCTGCAAACAGCACACAGGGAATTCCCCCGAGCTGCACGTTACCGAGACCAGAGGGAGGAGGGAACACGCATTCTTGAGCCGGGGAGCAGGCTGCTTACAGACTTGCCAGCCACACGCAAATGGGGTGCTGTAGCTAGCCAGGGAGCCAGAGCGTGGTGTAGGAAATCACAGTTCAGATTCATTGTACAAGACAAGCAAAGATTCCTGGCCGGGAAAACATGCCAACAAAGCACAGTGGTGAATCATGAATCCGGAAGCCGTGATCGAGTTTCAGTCCAAGTTCAAAGCCAGAGAGACACATGCCAACAAAGATGAGGGGGTGATCCGGGAACACTGCAGGGGGTCGGAGAACAAGCAAGCCAAACATGGGAATAAACTCAGAAGCAAGGCTCCAGGGGCTCAGTGTCCACACTCAATGACAGAGCCCCCAGGTCAGTCAGGTCCAAGTACTCATTCTGGGGAGCACCTGGAGGGGGTGTTGTCGTAAACCAACTCCAGGTGCTCTGAGACGTCAGGCGATTAGTTCTGTGCAGCAGGTGGAGACGGGGGGGCTGACAATGACGTCACCGGTGGCCACAGCACAGCCAGCTTGCCCCGCAGTCCAGCAGCATGACACCCGCATGACACAATGACCCGCTTTATTTTTTAAGGAACACTCTTTTACATAAAGCGTAATACCCCCGCAATAGCACAGACTGCTTGGCCGAGTGCAAAGTTACAGCAAGCTAAGCGATTGTGTGGACGAAAACATCCCTGCCGTTCACCTCACTCGCTGTTGTGTTTACCAATGAGTCAGATGGTCATGATTTCATGTGGTATTAATATTCACTTGTATGTAGTACAATATTATCCTTTACCATGAGTTGATACCAGTGCTTCCGATAATAAAAGGCAAAGAAAAGCCACAACATTAGAAGAAGACCTTGAAATAATAAAGAATGCAGACAAAGGTGAATGAAATGCAACTATAATGTTACGTGAAGAATTATTGTGCTGGTGAAATTGACTAATTCCCAACTTCTGGATAAATAAAATCAAATAGAGCCATCCCAGCTATTTGTTTACCAAGTGAAAAAACAAATAGCTACACTTTTACTATCCATTCCAGGGCTTAGGCCAGACACTATATTGAATTGACATGGGTTACAAAATATGAGTGCAAGATGGTTTACTGGCATGATCAGCAGGTAATGGAAAAAAGCAGGTGGCCTGGCCAAATTCTTAATAATCACACTGAAAGCTGCAGGACACAGCACCTGAATCCAGAAGCTCAGCAGGGCGGAAAGACTTGGTCTACTTCCTATCCACATGTTACCATGAATGCAATAAAAAGTGATGTGGAAAGAAAGTGAATCCAAAAGCCATAAAACATTGGAAAAATGTCAGTAGGAAGAAAAACAGCAGGGCGGCAATACGGACAGGGCTTGGCCTTAGCAGGACAGAACTGGGAAGACACAGGAGGGGTGTCGGGGTGACTCACCGCTCTTCTGGGGTTTCTACGTGGAAGGTGCGCTCAATGACCGTGGTCCACTGCAGGCAGCGGATGATAAATGTATTGGGTTTCGGTCGCTCTGTCTTCATCAGCTGGCATTCTGACCACATTCAAAGGGAGGAAAGGCCGGCGCTTTGATTCATTTATCTTTACTATGACTGCAGCTGACATGGCTGAGACCACCATCAGCCATTCAGGGCAGCTGAAGGAAACTAGGCTTAGATAGGGAGGGGGGGTTGGCGGCTGAGTCAGACTGCCAGTCTGCTTTACAGCAGCAAAGGTGAAACAAGGAAGCTGACAAATGAAAGGTAAACATTTGCTGATCTCAGTTTTTATTGAGAAGAAATGATCCTAACTTCACAAATACTTTTACAGTAAATGGGGAAGAAACGGCACTATCAGTAGAGACTAAATTAAAATTGGGGGTAATTTACCAAAGATTGTATATTGAAACCACTTTCATCCAGAAGCGGTGTACACCCATTTAGATTTATACCTGCTATTCTTTGACAAAAAGATCTAAAGGAGTAATTCTTTGATGATGATCCAATGTATTACCTATATATTCTATACATCTATTTAGTTTGATCATGTTGTCATTATCAAACTGTAACCTGGGAGTCTCACCTTATATCATCAGTTAAAACAGCACTACAACATCATGGAGCCATTAAAAATCAATCGGACCCCTGAAAGGAGAAGTAGACATCTCCCCATTCTGTTTTTCAGTGCTTAAGGAGACAGGCCGATCTCTCCTGAACTTCAGACTGGAAGTCTGCTGATGGAGCAGGCTACATAGTGCCGCAAGATAAATAATTGAGATCAGCTAGTTAATAACCACTATAACTCAAGAATGTCAACTGGAAATGTTTTGTTTAGTGAACAATATGCTGTCTAATTACTCTGTTCAATCATCTGCACAACAGAACAGACCAATCTTCAAAGTTTTTTTTATTTTCCTCCCCGTTCACTCACTTTAAATGAAATACTGCCGCAATGCTAAAGAGCATTATCCCCTCTCCACCCACTTTGGAATTTATACACCTACTAGGTGGTAGTTTTAATAAATGCTGAAAACAAACAGTTATCAATTATATTTAGCTACAGCAGCACTTTCCTGATGCAGGAGAGTGTTGCATTACTATGATTATGATGGAAATACTGTCTCTCAGTTGGCAATAGCTCTTTGTTATTCATTTGCTCAGTTAGATGTGTAGGGAACAAAGATTTTAAATACTGTTTAAATGTAAAGGTGTAAGAGTATGTGTGGTTAAAATCCCGGGGTAAAAAAGCAGATTCTTGTAAACCTAGTATTTTGAAATGATTATCACAAATATTCAAAGCAGATTTATCTTGGAAATAACACTGCAAATATGATACAGAAAAGCAATCCATGTATGAGGCTCCCTTCCTGAGCAAGAATTTATTTACACAATGGTGGCAAGGAGTTTAATTAGTAAAGGTTCAGAGGACAAACTTACGTGCTACTGAGAAATTATTTAAAGGAGTTTCAAGCTGGTCCACATCTTGCGGTCTCTCCTTGTATCCAATAAACGTACCATCACTTTTCAGTAAAAAATACCTTGGTCTCCAAGTTTTGATGTACTCTCCTGCAAAAGACAAAAACACTTGCGCTAATTCAATCTACTTTTTTGGAAGAATTTTGAAAACTTTTATTCTTTGAACTACTCATAAGATTCCTCAATGTATTCCCTATTTACAAAACAAGGCAGCACTACATATGTCAACTAGCTAATTTTACTATTCCATTAAAGCCATTATAAATATCAACAGCCCTGCAACAGATATATCACCCCAAAACACATAAATAAGAGTATAATCAACAGGGCTGTAATGATAATCAAGGTCAAGCTACCACATACGGATGGCTTTGTGCCTGATCTTTGTGCTCAGTGTTTTTTCATACATCATTTTATCACAGCAAGTTCAAGCCACTTTATCCTTGTTAAGGCAGCAGTACGTCTGACACAACTGTACCCAGCAGAGTGAAGAAAGGTTAACAAGACACACCTACAGATTGTTCCTAATTTTGTTTTATAAACTGGGCACCATTAACACCATTTATCTCCAGTATGCACAAAGACTTGTCAATGAGGGAAAAAAATGACGGCGTTGATGTGTGGGATGAAATTCCTAACCAGATGTTCTAAAATATGAGAAACCACTAAAGTGTGATAAAATAAAGACTTAGACTGGAGTAGGCCTGAATATTTATTCAAGACAGTGTAATTTATTTTTAATTACGATTGCTGGAAATTAACCCCATGCAGTGCTTGCACAAGCTGTCTTTAATTGGCCCATTTCCTGTGACTGAAAGGCCTTAGCTGAGAGAATCAGTCAATTTAGAGATTTTTCTTCTTTGCCTATGAATTGGCCCGTCTTCAGTGAAACTCTTAGATTGATGTTTAATAGTCAGCCCAGTTCTTGACTGACACTACCTTTGTTCTTACCCACTTATTTCTATTCTCAGCCCATACTTGGAAAGCTGTGAGCAAATCCTGTTGTCTTGAAATATTAGGGTTTAAAAACATAGTATGCCAGGCTATGTTTTAATTGCTAGCTTTAAAATGTCTCAATGTATTGCAAAGAGCTCCAAAGAAGATCCACTTTAGACTTAGATATATTTAACTGCCAATATAAAGGAAACGCCAACATGAAATGTCATAATAGGGCACTAGGCCACCACAACCCACCAGAACAGCTAGAATTCTATTAGAAGGATTCTAACACCATTCTTCCCATCAGAAATTCCGTCATTTGGTATCCTGTTGATGGTTGTGGAAAATGCGGTCTTAGGCACCACTCCAGAATCTCCTATAAGTGTTCAAATGTGCGGAGATATGGTGACTGGGACGGCCATGGCTTATGATTTATAGTGTTGTCATGCTCATCAAACCATTCAGTGACCACCTGTACCCTGTAGCTGGGGGAGATTCCACTCTCATCAGTTAGAAATGCTTCACCATAGGATGAATGTGATCACTCAGAATGGCTTTGTATTTATTGGTATTTTCCTTGCCCTTTAAATGGCTGAGCTGACATAAGGAATGCCAGAAAAATACTTTTACACCATTACTGAGCCACCAGGACCCTCCACCATTAAAATCAAACACTCGAACCCGTAGGCTTCATTTGGCATGCACCACACATGTTCTTATCTTCTCGTTGTAGACACAGTGAAGGATGAATCATCTGTCCATATGACTTTTTCTACTGCCCAGTAGACAACTGCCTGTGTGGCTTGCACCACTTTACTTGTAACAGTGTACTTTTAGGTATAATAAGGGGTTTATAAACTGCAACTTGACCATAGTATCCCTCTCTATGAAGGTCAGGATGGACAGTACTTGATGAAACTGCCTAATCAAGCCTTAAATTGACATTTACAGTCAATTGATTCAGAGTTTCTCATCTGTTTTGTCTTGCATCTCGATCCAATGAACGGACATCACAGTCGATGAGTGTGCGCCTTCATCCACAGCTTCTCCTATACGATGATATCTTTCCCTCAGACTTCCATGCCATCATCACCTCAGCCACAGTTGCTCGTGAACCATCAGCAAATTAAACTGTCTTTGTTGCTGAAGCTCCTGCCAAACCTGCCCCAACAATCACCCCTGTCTCAAAGCCACTGAGATCTCTTCTTCTAGCCATGGCAGATAAATAATGAGAAACTGGGCCTGTTTGTCATTCATTCACCAGTACCTGAACGACTGTAAGGGGATAGGTATGCCTTACATTTACTGTATGTCTGTACGTTGTTTCCTTCTCATTTGAAAGTGTGAAATGGCAATCCCAAAAATTTGGAGAAATTATTTTAATTAATCTATTTGGGTAATCAATACGAAAATGACAAAGAACCTAAAAGGTTTAACACATTCATGAATACAAAAGAGGACAATATCCTGATGAGAAATTCCCTGTTAGCTGAGCATCCTCAAGTTATTAAGAAGGAAAGCACAAATTCGATTTAAGGACAAATGGTGCACAGTGCCTTGAAAAAGTATTCGGACCCCCAACACTTTTTTTACATTTCACTGCCACAGATTCTGAATTTGAATTCCAACACCTTTCCTCAATTTATTTGAACTGAAAAACAGCAATGTTTAAATTTAAAAAGTATTCAAAGCTCTTGTAATAGCAATCTCAAATTTGCACAGGTGCAACATTACCTCAAAAGTCACACAATTTGTTGATTGACTCCACCTGTGTCAGAAATTAGTGGATCACCTGTTGTCAATGCTATTGTAAATATAAATATCCCTCTCTCTGCGTGGTCCTGAAGCACGGTGGAGAAGTTTTTTTTTTAAATGACTCAAAATGAAGATGAAAGAGCATTCTAAACAAGAGAGTTGATTATAGAGAGGCAGAAATCTGGGGAACTGTACAAGACCATCGCCAAGGCACTGAACATCCCTAAGAGCTCAGTGCAGTCCGTTGTACAGAAGTGGAAGAAGTACAAAACTACAGCTACACTGCCTAGATCAGGGTCGCCCCCCTAGTTTTAGTTGCCAGACAAGAAGGGCACTTATCACAGACGCTACTGCAAGGCAAACTGTAACACTGAACAAGCTACAGAAGTCAGTGACATGAAAGATAATGTATGCGAGTCATCAATCTCCAAGGTATCCGACAAAAAGGGCTCTTATGGTAGGGTTGGAAAGCAGCAGCCCTGGGTGAAAAAAAACAACATATCCTTGCCCTCATAGAGTTTGCAAAACGCCATCTAGAAGATACTGCAGGGATGTGGCAGAACATCTTGTGGTCTGACAAGACTAAAGTGAAACTTCCTGGCTTGAATTCTAAGAGGTATGTATGGCACAAATCAAACACTGCACACCAGCCATGTAACACCATCTCTGCCAGGAAGCATAGCGGTGGTAGCATCATGTTATGGGGATGCTTTTTAGTGGCTGGGACTGGCAATCTTGTCAGAATCAATGAGAAGATGAATGGTGCACATTACAGACAAATTCTGGACAAAAACCTGCTACCCTCTGCCAAAAAGCTCAAACTGGGGAGGAAGTTTGTCTTTCAACGGGACAATGATCCAAAGCACACTGCAAGAGCAACATCTGAGTGGCTTTAAATGAAGAAAATAGATTTCATTGAGTGGCCCAGTCAGAGCCCTGACCTTAATCCTATCGAAAAGCTGTGGCAAGACCTCAAACTTGCTGTCCGTCACCCCTCTCCAAGTACCCTGACCCAGCTTGAGCACTTTTGCAAGGATGAATGGGCAAATATTGCTCCATTTCAGTGTGCAAAGTTAATGAAGGCTTATCCAAAAAGACTGCTGGCTGTAATAGCTGCCACAGGTGGTTCGACTAAGTATTGACCGTGTGGGATGAATACTTATTAAAATTATGATATATCATTTTTTTAATGTTTAATTACTATTATCTTTCTCTTTGGGGGAGGGGGGGGGGGGACTATGAAAAGATGAATGTGTGACTATCAAATAAAACTTCCCATTCTAAAAATATAAAATTCCAAACTGTGAGATGCTTGGGTGTGAAAAAAGGGATGGGGGGCTGAATACTTTTTCAAAGCACTGTACTTTATAAGAATAGAAGAAGCAGTGGAAAATACTGTTACACACATACACGTCAGTGCTAGTTACAATGACTTGAAACTGTGATATGTTAAAACTCTGTATCAATCAAAATGACTGGATTAAACTATTTAAAATGTTGTACAGGCAATCGTAAACACCTGATTTGCTGCAGTGCCGACAATGCAGCATGAATCATTTTAAGTTAAGAAACATCTGCCCAAAAGTACTGTATACTTTAAATTTAGATTCAGAGCAGATGTCCAATATGTTATTACTGCTGTTGCCATTTTTCATAATGACACGTGGGAAGATTTTTCATCTCCATTTTGCAGTGTAAGTGTTTTAAATAACCATAGTTAATTTAGAAATTAGTTAAGCTTCTGCAGCAGTTTTGGATTTTTGTCTCAGATTTTTTTCAGGGAAAAAATATCAATAATTACTGCAACAAAAGGATTTTCCTATACAAAATCAAAAAAGCAATAGCCTGTCTAATCAACATGACAGCTAGACTAAATGATTATGGCAAATTTATACATTGTCTTATACCTTCTAAATAAGGCATGATGATGCATCATTTCCTTTCAATTTTTTTCCAAATAAAAGTTTTTTCCCCCCATTAAATATTCCTGGTGAAAGTTTACATGTTTATGTTACTGAGCTTTTGAAAAGCAATTTTATAGACGTCTGACCAAAAGCTGTAACTAAAATGCAAAGTCATTGTTTAAAAACAAAATAATTTACAAGAAACAATGATGTCTGATGCTGTTAGTTTGAAAAAGAAACATTTGATTCTTACCATTAAAATAAACCAAAAATATTTAATTAGCAAATTACAAGTGTTTTGAGTGCATTCAGGAAAGATTAAATGCATACTAAGGATGGTCACTTCAACATAGGTTCTAGAGAAGCCTTTTATACTTTTTCCATGTCAATTGTCATGTCATCAATCATTTAGGTTAGGAAAAGAGATCCAGTATTTGCTTCTGCATGTTCCATTTTTTTTTACAACAAAAAGCTTCAGAGCTATTAAAATGA